ATTTGACGATATCGACGATAGTGTGGCTTTTTGGCAATGTGTGTATAATGTAACTTTACACCACAACCTTCAGCTACCTTCTTTCAAGAGATGTCGTGATCAGAGTTACGTCTCTTCCTTGGATCAACACCTTCTATTAGAAAGTAAAAGAATAAGAGATATAAACTCCTGAAAGACGCAAAGTCATGGGGTGATCCTAAGAAATGAAGGTTGGCTAAAAAGACTACAAAAGCTGCTTAGTGGCAAAAATTATTAGAGGAAGCATGCAAGCGAAATGAATATGGAGATTGACAAATCAAGTCTTGAAAAACACAAGGCCAAAACCACTAGTGCAATTTCTGGTCCCTGTGAGGAGATAATAACCCCTGAATTAAATAAAGCTGAGTGTTTCAGTGCCTTTTTAGTAAACATTAGCGAAGACCTCAACAATCAACAAGATCTTCTGGAAGTATCATCTCTAAACATATTCAATTGATTGGACAATGCATCAAAATGGACTTCGAAACACCTATACAAAATAGAAATGGAGAGCGACTTGATAAATAATCCCAAACAGTTAAAGAGAACATTAGATGCTTTTGCTTCCCTTAGGTACTGCCTCCCAAATGACTGAAATGTTTGTAGTGCCGTCTGCCCTGTTCCTCGCAATTTTCAAAATCCTGTCTCAAATTAAGTCGCTGTTCAGAGGTGGTTCGTGCGGGGCCCCGAGATGTTCGGTGGTCTTCGAACCGTTCCATGACAGGTACCGGTTGACGTATCTCTCACGGAGTGTCGCTGGAATCACAAGATTTGGATCGTAGTTGATTAATTTAACGGTGTTGTAGAAACCAATTCCCTATCTAGTTCCCAAAGTTACGTTCATTTATGCTGTCTTTCGCCGTATTCCCGAATCATCAAGTAAATGTCGACTTTCATCGTCTGTTCCGTATTTCAATGTTATTTCCAGTGTTTTAATTAGTTGTTCCGCTTTTAGTGTAATATTCTTCTGCCATTTTATTTTAGAAACCGCTGGCAGTGACATGTTTAGTTAAGAGTTCGAGTCGTCCAGAAATCAACCCGACTCCTTTACGTCCCAAAATTATTGCTGGTGCGTTGGTTACAGGTGTTATTTCAGGTTTAGCTAACTGCATCTCCGTTATCTGGAAGACTGTCTTACCTCGCTGTACATTAAACGCCACCTTCGACATGGGCCGTTGTGTTTGTTTCCACGGTGGACAAAGGTCGCTGCAGATGTAAGGCATCTAAGTAGCTGCTGTTTGTATCAAGGGTTGGGGCAGACAAAGACCTTTTCAACATAACCACGTTGGGTGTTCCATAAACAGAATATAAAGCATCAGTTAGATTGCAAGATACTGATCTTTTCAGACGTTCCATACGTTTTTCTAATTTGGGAAGCTCTAAAGACCTAATTGAATACTTTCTCCTGAAAAATTGAGCAGCACCAACTGCTGACTGTATTGCTTTAGGCTTTGTCAACCCCAACAGCTCTCGAATAGCGTTTCTAAAACGTTGGTCTCTATAACAGTAAAGCAGCGGATTAACTAGAGAGTTAATCTGCCCAAACATCTGTGTAAACTGGAAAGCGGCATTTGTACGAAAGACTGGCACAGCATTTCCTAAGATAGCAAAAACAAACACGGGGATAAACGAGGATATAAACGCAGCGGTTAGCAAACCAGTTGTCTTGGCAACTTTAGATTCCAGTTTTTGTTTAATTAGGACGTCGATTTGAGAGATATCGTTTAGCTTCCGATTGCGTATTCCAAGGTAAACTTTCCGATAAAAGAATACAACAAGAAAAAGACAAACAGTTTCCACAGCAGTCCACCCGGTTAAAAAGCCGTTCAAAATCTTAGGATCCACAACGATCGCTGTCGTTATAAAGTTTGCAGTCGCTAGGAAGATCGCTGAGAGCCAGGTAGCTATCGCAATCTTTTTGAGGCGGCCATTTGTGATGATACGCTTGTAGTCCATCCATTTTTGTACCGCCACGTACCTCTCCCAAGCAATGATAGTCAAGTGATGCATAGTAGCTCCGAAGAGTAAAGGAAGGAAAAAAAAATTCACCGAATATAACATACAAGTAAACTCAGGGGAAACTTGACCTAATGTAAAGAAATCAACAGTGGCAGATGTCGGCATAACTATGGCACCAACTAGAAGATCCGTAACGGCCAGGCTTGACAACAGAATGTTTGAAGGTTTTTGCAGCTCTTTTCTTTGCTTTATCGCTAAGATTATCAATGCGTTCAAAATAATGGTCGGGAGTGAAACCATGACTGTTGTGAGGCCTATGATCATGTAAAAACTGACTGGGCCTCTGATTTCCCGTAATATGTTTGGTGCGTACCTGCAATAAAACGTTGGGCTGGAACAATTTGTGGTCGATTCGTTGCTATTCAGGTCCATGCTGTACATGGAGAATATCTCTTAGTTGTATTCAGGACCGTTAAATAACCAACCACGTTTGTCGATCACATATGGTGTTCAGCTATTCAGCCTCTTTACGCCTGTCCACCAATTCCTTCAGTCAATCCTATGACGAAAGCCGGTATAATTATCTCTAAAATGAGCTTATGAAAGTATTAGGAATGAGCGCTCGCCCGCTCGCCCATGCGAGTTTAGAAGCGGCGAGCGAGTGCAAATCACTCATCACTCGCCGTTTGGTTGGTATGATTTCATGTTTTGGAAATTACTTAAGCTTAATATTAATAAAAATTCTTTTAATTTTCCATTTTGCTAATCTTTCGTAATGCCCGACTAATTTGTATGGGTAATCATACGGTTTTTCTCGTTCAATTTGGAATTAATTTGCACGAGTGAGTTTTTGAAAAACTCGCAAGTGGAAATTAATTCCGAATTGAACGAGAAAAACCGTATGATTACTTCTTAATAATACTAACATGAAAAAATTGGCGTGGAGGAAGTGCCGGAAGATCTTTCTTGAAGGCATTTTTTCTCATTCGAGAAAACTTTTTTCGAAGTTTCCGCACAATATTTTTGTCATCATTTTACGTGATATCATTGGCTTAGAAAATTTCCTATTGACTTTCAGCCAATCATAATCCAAAATTACGATCTATAATTTGCACTAGCGTTACACTTTTTTCACTGGTGTTATACTTTTTGCACTGGTGTTACACTCGAACTGCACTGCTCTCAGCCATTTAGAATCGAGTAATATTTTCATGTATATTATTAGCCTATAAAACAAAACTCAGGGTTTCGAAATTAGACACAATGAAATGCAACTCCCTCGCAGTGAAATTACGCAATGGTCGAATGTTTATGAAGCGATTTCTTGGTCTCTATTTGAGCTGGCATTTATTAGTGCGTGAGAACTGAAGATGGCACACTAGAGGAACAAGGATTTTGCTTGCTAGGAAATAAATCTCCATTGTCTCCATTGATGTTATTAACTGCTGCAGCATTTATTTTTTCTTCGGAAGGGAACAAACGTTAGTCTTCCATGTACCGGCAAGTTGAGAGTCACTCGCCTGAATGGCAAGTGATGTCAAAATTTAGTTTTAAACACTGTTATGTTTCATGAGGCATGTTCAATCTTACTAAGCTGTCTTTCTTACTTGAATTTAAACCACATCCAAAAGGGAATAAAACGATTCAAGAAAAAAAAATGCAGAGGTACAGATGATGTGTTTTGCAAAAAAGATGTTTTGGGATCCAAATGGACAAATAGGTGACAAGTCTGGTGAGTATCGATGTGTAACTACACTTGCATGCAGCATTCTGGGAGGTAGCAGTAACACAGCCTAGCGTTGTGCGTACAATCAAGGCCAAAAAAGCGAACCACATAGTGTAGAAAAGATCTTTGTTGGGCTTCAACAGCTGCTTTAGCTGCTGTCGAGCCAATCAAAGGAATATCGGCTTCAGGACATTAAAATATTTCAATTATTATCACATCATTCAAAATTGCTTTACCTCTGGTTCTCGAGGTTAAACTTCAGTGATTGAGCCTAGAGAAACGGCCGTTTTCTTGAAAGGAACTGTTGATTTAGCCAAAAAGTCACATCCTGCGCAAGAGAAAAGGGAACAGTTCTTCTTTAGTTCTTAATGTTGTTTGCATGAGTCGCTGAATCCTTTTAAGATGACAACTCGCAAAGTCCACTATTTGAAGGGTAACTGTGTCCTTTAATTAAAATTTATTATAGAACGTGATAGCACCGTTTTGAATTAAGTGTACACCTGGAAAATACCAAGAGCTTTGACTGTAATAGTCGCAGAGACTAATTGGAAAAAACTGTTTGTTGATGGCAAAGGAGTCTGGTTGCTAATATGTAGGAAAAGAGTTTCTGTGTTTGCACGCTGTAATTGCGGGTTATATAAATTTCGGCGTCCTACCTTACAAACGATATCTTGACGTGCACAGGAGTGAAATTTAACGTCTTAAAATCCTCCAAAAGGCGAGTATAGGGCGGTTGGAATATCAATATTATGATTTAAGCCGGAGGAAAGCAGCCTAGTGGATAAAAATAAAAAAGTAAAAATCAACAAAAGCATACTGAATCAGACATTCAATTATAAGAAAAGAAATTCTTTAGAGCACTGACGTAATATTTGTGATTCAAAATTTGGTCTTACCTCAGATTCGCGAAAGCAGAATACAATGGTTTCCCTCAAATGATTGTCCGCTATCTTGTTAGGGCTGAAAGATTTCGCCTGAAATCCACATTCGCTCTTATATAGTAATACAGCAAGAACATATTTCGCTGTATCACTTAAGTGTCATTTGACATGAAAGCTGCCATTATTTGAAGGTTAGCTGAGTCCTTCTATTAAATGATCAAACAGGTCAAAAAGTGCAGCTTTGAATTGAGTGCCTATTTGCAAAGTGCCAAAGGCTTTTAGTGTGAAAGTCTGCGAGACAAATTGGAAAAATAACTCTTTTTTCTCAAAGCAGATTTTGGCCGCCAACAAATTATAGAGATCTTTTGGGCTGCCTCAAGTAAGGTGAGAAATTTAACGGCTGACATAAACAGTCTACATCTACAAGTAAATACAAAGTTTTTTCCTTGTTTTTGGTAATGGTTCATGTTCTCGTATTATATTCAAAATCATCTTATGGCACCTGCCAATTAATTAAATTACCGATGGTGATCCGATATATTTGGAAAGTAGTCGAAGGTCACCCCAATCGTTCCGGTGATAGTCGAAAATAATTGGAAGATTTTCGAACACTGTCGAAGATCACTCGAAAATCTTGGAGGATATCCAAAGGGTGAAGAAGATCACTACAAGGTGTCCTCGAAGTTTGCTGTACAATATCGCTAGGTTTGCAATACTTACGGAGTTTCCCAAGTTAATTGGAAAATCAAAGACACTACCAGCAGCCGTAAATGGTCTATTTTTTCTAAAATACTTACTCGCATAAATAAATTGTTCAAAAAATTTATTCCTGAGTTATTTATTCCCATTTGTTCTCGAAATCATGTGATTATTACGAAAGTTTGTAAGCCGGCCATTCGACAACCGACATAGAATATCCGATATTTGACATGCTACATCCGTCATCCAACATCAGTCCCGTTTCAGGCGTCCGAAATCTCCCATCCCAGATCCCAGATCCCACCTCCCACATGCGACATCCCACATCTACGTGATGGTACATTTTGTTTACAGGCCAAACTCTACACCCATTGGTGATGGCAAAACTTTGACCTTACTCTAACGGCTACGTTTTTTAAAGATCTCCCCTTTCTGTGTAAAAGCAGGGGAGGGTCTCTATACATCTTTGATAGGAGAGGCTGATTTTCTATTAAACACTATTTGCCTATAAGAATATATTGTAGGGCCGAGATTCTTTCGCTAAAATTAACTTTTGACAAAATGTTGTCGGGTTATCTGGATAACCTCTGTCGCGTCATCTACGTTCAAATTGTGTTGTATTTTCTTTAAATGTAACGTTTGAAGAATTGCTTGTCAAACTCGTAAAGCCTTTGCCTTTGATAAAGCCTTTTCTGGCGTCTGTAGGGTGGCAAGAGGTGAAGAGGGTTTCACTTAGTTTGAAGTTTTTGCCCACTTCGAGAATGGCGTCCTTTTTCAATCCATCGCCATTGCATACGCATACAAATTTTGTATCCAGGAGAGTTGTGTCTGTTCCTGAAATTGCAGCTACGAATTTTATGGCTCTATGCTTCTTACTTGCTAGCTCTATGAACGTGTTTATTTCCTATTCGTTTCATAAGTTCCACAGAGAAAAGACATCATCGATACATCTTTTCAAAGTGGGTGACTTAACGTCACTACGGTTAATAATTTCTGTTTCTACCGCGGCCATAAGAGTGACTTCCTGTAAATACTACGGATAGGTGTGCAAAATGCAAAAATCGAATTCCCTCAAACTTTTTCACAAGAAAGCCCTCTGGAAACTATTTAGGAAAATACAACTTTTAGTTCGTTTGGATTTATATTTTTCAAGTAAAGCGATTTTTTTAATTTTCACCCTTGGAAAAGCCCTCGAACCGCTGAAAAATGTGCTTCGTATTTGCGACTCGTGCAAGAAAACTAAAACAATTATCAAAACTATTTCGATATTACACAATTTAATGATCCTTCCTTTACAAAGTA